AGATCCCGCGTACTCGTCCAACCGTAGCCGTTAACGGTAGTCTTAAATCTTAGTTATCTACAGGGACCGGTTGCATAAAATGGTTACACCTGGGACTAATTGTTCACGTACGTCAGACGTTAAAGGTGCGATAAAACGGGCAACAAAAACGTGTACAACTTGCTTTGCTGCAAAACAAGTTGAATATAGTACTGTTGTGCATTTTACCACTCAGAAATCAAACCTATCTTGCAACAAAGGTTGTTGCATGAGGCGAAAAGTTGTTGGAGAAAGTAAAGTCAGTAGTTTTCTTTTTGCACCAAAATCTGTACCTGTTGCGCGTTTCACCGGCCCAACGCAAACTTGTGAGTCCCGCTTAACTTTATCCATTCAGAAGTCAGTATTCGTGCAACTTGCAACAAACTGAATGGCTGCTAAACAGGTTTGAGCGTGGGTGGTAAAACGCGCAAAATCGCCTTTTAATTCAAGCCACGGTAAAACGAACAACGAAAACGCCCAACTTGTTTTGCAACATTACTGTAAGACAAGTTGAAAAGACATCATTCCGCGTTTTATCGCCCACGTTCAAACCTGTCTTGCCAAAGATTAGTTTGTTGCGAGTTGCGTGAATACTAAACCGCGCCGAGCGGTCGTCCTTCGAGCAAAAAAGTAAACTATGCAAATTAATGGTAAAACGTTCTTGACCCATAGTGACTCCAAAAAGAATATGACACTGCTCGCAGTCTACGTAAATACTGACTTCTGCATGGATAAAATACCCGGGTGTTACGTCACTTGTTGCAAAACAAGTTTGCCTTAGTCCGGTAAAACGCGCAACAAGGAGTCGTTTGCAAAAAGTGGAACTACTCTCTACTTTATGCAACAACTTTGAACAAGCTGCAACAGCCTGATTTGTTGCAATACAGGTTTGATTCGTGGTTGGTACATCGCGCAATGTCGCTATTGAACTAGATTTGCAGCAGTGTTGCGTAGCCTGAAGTTAAGGTAAAAAGGACAGCAAAAACGTGCAACTTGTTTCGAAAAATCGTTTAAAAACGAGGTGAAAAGCGATTTCGCCCTTTCAGAGGAGCGAACGATGTTTTTTTCACACGTGTGAAAAATACAACCCAGCCCCAGTTTATTCAATAACAAGATGATCTTGAACCCTGAAAGACGCAAGGCGATGGTTCTCTCGCTAAATGTCAAGCTATCACTATTTGCTGAAGGTGTTGCCTTACCACTAGTTGATACCGTAGATTTCCGTCTTCCTCTCGCTAAAAGGAATTACGGAAAGCAGACTTTTTTATCAGTGAGCTAAGGAATGGAACATTTTAGACGCATCTTTTAAAGAAATTAACTCTCTTCTTCTTTTTAAACAGAACATTCAAAGCTATATATTTTAGATATTTTAAAGCTTTTGATATTTTAATCTATCTGACATTTTAACATTTTTAACCTGTAGCTTGTATAATTTAGGTTTTTAGTTCTTAACTTTTTACTTATTATTACTATTACGCATTCATCTATCTAAGATCATTTATTTTTCAATTGTTTTACAGCGCCTCACTGAATATCACTCTTTGTCAAGTGAGCTCCCTGTATAAAGATTGTTATTATATTATTATTATTATTATTATTATTATTATTACTATTATTATTATTATTATTATAATTATTAATATTATCTGTTTGGGCTAACATTGGATGATTCCCTGAATTTTGGAAAGCACATTACGAAAATTAGCAGGAAAGTTGGAAAGCAATTAGATA